AGTATCATGTCTTTATGAGAAACATTATGTGTCGAATCCATATGTCTTGGATATTGAATCAATTACATATGCAATAATATTCACTTGTAATGATTTTTATAAATTCCTAGGGCATTGAGAGGGAAAAAGGACTAGAACAATATGTGACTAAAGTTGTTAAACAACTATCAAGAACAGTCTGAGGGTACCAAAAAATTGGTTACTTGTAGACATTTGGAAGTATAGTATTAATTTGGACGGACCACATTGACATAATTCTGAATGGATGTGACTCTTGTTCGGAATTGATGGTCATATGTTAATATGGAAATATTTCCATAGTGGGAGTTGGTTATTGAAATCTATATGTGAGTTAGGAACTTTAATGCAATGAAGATGTTTAACGAGTGTATCTTGAATTTGAAACTTTGCTACCATGAAATTATTTTTCAAGTAACAAAGTTTCAATGGAGCATTTTGTGACATCGTTGGATAAGTCTTGGTGACTTTGATGCCACGTCATCACAAAAGGGTATTGCATACAAGGTTAGACTCTAACACATTTAGTGGCGACAAGAATTTGGAATTCGTATACTTGTAATGAGGATATCGAATTGTGATATGAGTATCATTGGAATTATGTCTGATTGATCTATTCACAAAGGAAGGACCTTAGAGAGACATAGTATGCATGTTTATAACATGGCATGAATAATGTTTAATTCAAGCATTTAGTTGATTAATCGAAACATTATACAATTAATAAAGTCTAATTAATATGGTGATTAAATAATACGTGTTTTATTTATATTCAATATTTTTGAGACCATAACTAATTAGATTATTATAGTGTTTCATTTTGCATGTTTAACTTCCCGAATAATTGGATTATTCAAACATCCACAATCGGTTGTACTTTTGGAAGTAAGTAGCGAAGTAAGACTGTCATGAATTGAATTGTAGATTGTCTACGGAGATTAGACATAACAATGGTTTTGCTGCAATGTTCATGTGTACTTTTTGAAATAGTGATTTTAAGTATTGGATAAACCCACGCTCAAAGAATTACTTAATGGATTTTATCACGAGTAATTTTGAGACGATAATATCTTATATTCTTGAAAAGAAAATATATGAGTTGTTGTTTACGAGTCAATTGTGCATTGATAATATGTAAACGCATCAGTAACTTGATGTTATAAAACGTATTGCTGTGTGTGATTTGATGAGTGAATAGTGCAATCATATAAGTCGAAGTTTATCCGTTCCTTTTGACTTAAATGGGAAAAAGTGATATCTGTGGGCCCCTCAATGATTTTGAATATGATATCTAAAGCACTTGGCTAAGCATGTATTGAATTGATGTGTTCAATTAATAGTCTGATTTCAGTTGTCATAAATCGGAAAACGGGAAACAAATCTTTGACAGAGAGATTGATTATAATCCATGTCTCATGTCCATACGATATCTTTTAGAACAAATGAATATTTGATCACTTATCCTAGGACACGTCACTAACTGGGTCAAAGTTCGATAGCGGCTTTTGGTAGCTACAATTTTCTAGTCAAAATTTGAAGTCATACTTTCAATTATAGTTATTAGACTTATCTAAGTGGGAAACTATTGGATTATGTGTCTAAGCTCATAGCTATAACTGGTACCAACTTGAATTGATAGTATCACAGTCTTTTGATAACTATTAGAGAGAGAAGAATGATTTATTAATTTATTACTTGGTTAATAAATTAATTAGAAATCATATTACTTAATTAATATTTAATTAGAAATTAATTTTGGGATTAAAGGAATTAATTACAACTGCAGGGACTAAAGGTGACAATGTTCAATAATTGAGCATTGGGCAATTTTAGAACCTACCTAAAGAGGAGGGAACGAAATATAAAGCATCTCTAGGGTTTCCTTGGGCTCTAAGGGTGCCTTGGATACTTTAGGGAGGAAGTTAAGTGATTAGGGTTATCTTGGATACACCTCCCTAATCTAATTCCTTCCCAACACCTATATAAACCCTCCTTAGGGTTAAATTTAGGCTATGACACTTCTAAGATCCTAAGGACTGAAATTTCTCTTCTATTACTCTCTCTCTCTCTCTCACTCTCTCTTTTTCTCTATAGTTTTCCTTGGTTGCTTGAGTTTGTTTGTGAACCATTAGAGGCGCGACACTTGTGGCGCTTGCCACCAAAGGTCTTTCAAGCAAGGATTCAAGATTGTTTACAATAAAAATCTAAAAGGTATGTATCATAACCCTTCTTATGTGATTTTTGATTATTATCCATAAATCTAAGTTTTATACTTTGTTGTTCATTATTGTATGCTCAATTAGAGGAAACATAGATCTTCAATTAAGGTTGCATGCACACTTAGAAATTGTTGTTATGATCAAAATTCATCAGTACTCATCTGTACTCTAAGCATACACGCTAAATGGCTTGTATGTGACGCGTAGAGACTTGTACACCCAACGTACTCACCTATTCAGCCAAAACTCACTTTTGACCCTTAATCCATTAAGACATTGCTTCAAAACGTAGATCTGACTTCCTTGAGTTGGATTATCACATAAAGTTGCTAACTTTACGTTCATGCATGGCTAAATGAACATCTTAAGCTTAAAAAGGACTTAATAGGATACTTAAATGCATGCATGTGACCAAAAATCCTATAAACCTTGCACATTTATGCTTAAGGAGTCCATAATAAGCTCAAATCTAAACGAATAAGTCCTTAAAACGTCCCAACTCCTCAAACATACCCAAAAGGGACCAAAAGCATAAAAACTATGATATGAAGAGCTCTAAGCATGGAGAAGACAAGGTTTGAACTTAATACATCAATAAGCTTGCAACAAGGGTGATGATTATGGGTCTAAAACATTCTCACCAAGCAAAGCACCTCCGATCTTTTTTACTTCCTTCACAATGAGCAAAACAACCACCAAATTCTTCTTAAGGACTTAAATGCACAACAATGAAGGCTAATGGTCGGTTTCTAGGGTTTTGGAGGCTTAAATATTGGTAAAAAGGCCAACCCTAAAGACTTAAGGTGCATATATATGGTGCAATACCCTAAATAAAGGTTTCATTAAGTTGCACGTACACCCCGCATACATAAGCGTACGTCCCGCGTACATGTCCAAAGTCCCGATCAAGTCTCGCATTAGTACGCTAAGTGTACCATGTGGTAAGCCTCGTGTTCTAGCTTATCAACTGGTACGCTAAGTGTATCATGTGGTACACCCCATATACTACTCCAAGGACTAAAATTCAACATTTAAATAATAAAGGGCAATAATGAAACATACAAAGATCCAAATGTTACAATATTGTTCTTTCTTTCTATACCAGACGAACAACGTATGAATCCTTATCATAACTCACCATGCTGTAGCGAGTATCTTGCCACGTCTTGGTGGCTGTAGATCAAAAGCCTCATGGCTAATTCCATTCCTACTTGGGACAACTTTTATCCCAACTTCTAATGTGCAATTGTAAAGGTTGAGGTACACCCCAATGGGTGGTTTGTGTTTCTTCATAATCCGAAAAATAAAAAGGATACTTTTCCTGTTTTGATTTTTAGGGTTGTAAGGGCTCAATTTCCACCCTTTCACCTTTAGTATCTTCCTCATGAAATTTAGTGTAACTCTAAAAATGTTCAACTGGCTCTCCATGTCAAATTATATTACCATCATCAACCAACATCATTATTTTTGTATCATCATTTGTAGATTCATCAACATCAATTGTAGGAGAAGCATCAACATTAGTCTTACCTTTATTCCTATAATTACCCCCACCTACAGGGCCATTATGAGAATTTCAAAGGAACATAATTGGTTGTCATAGGTGATAAATTATACATTTGGTTACTTCCAACACCAGAACACCCATTTCCACCGGAACGATTTTCCCCGACAAATCGATAAATACCACTATCCATAACATTACTAACAAGAAACAAATTGTACTATGTTGGGAAGCATACTACTTAAAAAAACTAAGAAAATATCTAACATCACTATTGTCTAGAATCTGTATAACTATATTTGATTTAGGATATTGAAAATATAAACGTATTTGGTTAGTGTGTAACCTGGACTTGGAAGCAACCAATGTAATTAACCCGACGAAGTTGATATCATGCTTATATCTACACCAAAATATGTATAGTCTGGAGCAATATATTACATACATCCTTCGATATACTGCCATTGTCCTCAACTAGAAACTGACACTCGAAAAAAATATCGTATACATAATCATTTCGAAACGCGTAATGAAGTTATAAAAAACACAAATATAGCGCGCGCGCACACACACACACACACACACACACACACACACACACACACACACACATATATATATATATATATATATATATATATATATATATATATATATATATATATATATATATATATATATAGAACATAAACAACAAATACCTTGATTTTATCATTTCGGAACATACCTCCGGAATGTAAGACCATTCTGAGTATAGTCCATAACACATTTTTCATTCCAGAATGTACAAGGTGTTAGATTCCGGATCTAATTCTTACCAACCAACTACAACTCCGGAACGAAAATAAATGCTTCGGAATATCATATTTCGGAATACGTTGCACGAGAGTCAAGTCCGGAATTTTCTTATATGCTCCAAAATACACTATTCCAAAGTAAGTGGTCATTTCTAAAAAAGAAAATACTTGGTCACGGTTCTTAATAAAGTCGTTTATAAATGTTAGTTTACTCAATATCCGATAGAAAGTATGATAGTGTATATTGATCAAACTTATCATGAAAATATAATTTTATATACAGGTAAAAAAAATAATTTTATAATTAATTTATAACATATATTTAAATGTTTATTAAAAAAACTATTTTATAAAATAAAAATAAAAAATATTATGTTTTCACAATCTAGCCAATGAACAATCTTATTATTTTAGATCTGTTTTGACTATATTAAAAAAAAAAATCATAGCGTGGACCATTTGACCAATATCTAGATTTTGGACAAAAACATCAAAAATCCTAAACCCACAAAAGCCCTAATCCTTCAAGAGGCAGGAGTGTTTGCCCAACAAAAACCCTAGGACCTCTGCCAGAATCCATCTACTACTCTCATCTTGATTATACCTTCAATCACGCCGCAATGGAGACGGAGAGACTATCCTATGGTGGCGGCGGTGCTCATGTGGCGGAAGCCTTCAGTTTGATGGTTCAGACGGTTTTGGTTGCTGAGAAATCCATTTGTTGGCTTCTGTTTCTGGTAAATCTATACTACATTGGCGTTATTATCGTTTCTCTACAAGATCTGTTTTACTGCGATTTTCCGGTGACTAGTTTAAGTTGATTCCGTGCATTTTACTTGTTAGAGACTCCATTCATGCGTTTTTGCTTCACTTGAGTGTCATTTTAATTTCGATTTGACGACTGACCCTGCTTCGGTTAGCAGATCTCGCTGATTTTAAGATGTTTGTTTAAGAGATCCATTACTCTCTCTCCTTTTGCCGGAGTGACTTCGTTATCTAGTTCATAGATGTAACATCCGTTCTATAATTCGTATGTATACCTTTGATTACTTGGTGCAATCGACAAATTAGACGACATGTTGATTTATTTAGCTTTGATTTGTGCTGTGTGCTCCAACAATTGATAGGTAGCTAAAGCTGTGTTTTTTTCTTAATCATCAATTTTTTCAGAAACTGTGTGGTATACTGCATCTACTATGTGTTAGATCAGATTAAATGAAGCTTATTACTCAGGTAGATCTTTGATGATGCTCTCTCAAACTTGCTATATTGTTTCAGATCGGATCGATACCCAACAATGATGATGCTCTCTCAAACTTGCTTGATGCAGAGAAGAGGTTAGATACAGTTTCTTCTTCGTTTTCTTGCTTTACTACTCCATAGGAATGCTTCTTTAAGATGGGTTTTTTCATCCGGGCAGATTTCCTTTAAGTGATCTTAACAAAGTTGCAAGCCCTGATGCTGAATGCAAGGACGCCAGTGAAACAGAGGATGATAGTGACGATGATGAAGATGCTGCTGTTGGTGAAGACAGTGATAATGATGCTGAAGATTCATCTGGAGAAGACAATGACGATGAAGAAGCAGATCCCGACAGTGATTCAGATGCGAATGATGATGGAGAAGATGATGATGATGACGATGATGATGAAGACGACGATGATGATGATGAAGATGATGATGATGAAGATGAGGAAGAAGATGAAGAGGAAGAGAACCAACCACCCTTTAAGAAGAAAAAGTAGGAAAACAGTATCGATTCCATTTGTCCATTTGTGCTATTATTATTATTATTATTATTATTATTTAAGGGGCTTGAGGTTTAGACTTTAGAAAAGGACACATCATTTGTTTTGCGTTCTAATTTTGTTTCCCCCTCAAGCACACAAGCAGTAGTAAATCAGACATGTAGCTATTTCTACATGGATGTAGAATCCATTTGGTATTGAGAGTATGTAGGATTTGTGTTCATGGTTAATTTTCTCTTAGTCTCTCTCTTGAGCACAACTATAAGCCCAAATCATGAAGAGGATAAAGAATTGACATCTAAAATATCAACTAATTATTCTTGGAAAGCCATACAATTAAGATGATCCTAAGCAATGTACTTAATAACAAGAAATGTATTGAATAGACAATATATATAAGGATATTCATCAAAATGATAACTATTGTTAATTACATGACAAAACGACCTCTTTTTTTTCTATAAAAGTAAAACACGCTACCATCTTTGAAACTTGATGAAGTTTCGAATTTCAAATTTCATAGTCATAGCGAGTGGTCCTCATTATTTAAGGTTGAAACTTGATATCATAACTTTCGGTGGCCCTGTTATTAGAGGACCAGGTAATTTTCCTTGCCCTGTATTTTAAATTTACCAAATCATTGGTTTCCAACCATATTTTTCCAAAAGCCGCTCCAAATTAGGGTTTCAAACACTAAGAATAAGTTCGAAACTCTTTATTTTGAGTTCATTTTATGCATTTGAAAGTAGTTGTTAGAATGTGGACGCTATGCTTACAAAAAATTCAAGTAGAGAACATAAACATCAACAATCTAAAAAATAGTACAATTTTGAAATTGGTGGTACGTGTTTCAAAACCGATATAACTTTTTGTCAATAAAAGTATTTTGAATTTATAGGGGTAGTTCGAAACTATCAAAGTTTTGAGACAACTTTTATGAAAAAATAGCATTTAACAACAATGATCATTTTGCATGAATATCCTAATTTTCCATGTTAAATCATAAATGTAATACCTAAAAGTAAATTCTAACATGATAACGACGGATTGAAATCTATCGTTTAAGTTTTATCGCCAGTTCTTTTACTGGGAGTTGTGAGTCGCAAATATCATTGCTCGAGGGTGTGTTACCGTATTTGGAGTTGTATTACTTTGTATTCCACTTTTTACAAGAAATGTTTTTTGTTAAAAAATTATGTGATAAATGTATAATACATTTTTTTAAAAAAAATTACAAGGTTAGTAAGGATCCAATGTTTGTTAAAAAATTATGTCATAAATGTATAATACATTTTTTTTATAGAATTAAAAGGTTAGTAAGGATCCAATGTCAATACAGGATAAAAAGGATGAAATTGTTGAGTAACTTTTATTTAGAATCCTTATGATAAAACTAAGAATAAATGGGACAAATCTGGATATTGACATATAGTTAGGGGCAATTTGGTTATCCGCCAATCTTTGTTAGGTCGTAAAGTGTACCTGCACTTTAGGAGAAAAGTGGTTGGAACCGCACCCAATAACATCACACCCTGGGTGCGGTTTAGAGTGCCTTTTAGGCATCTGAGGTTTCTCCTCACCACTCTCTCTCTCTCCTCTTTTGATTGGGTGGAGGCATTATATATATATATATATATATATATATATATATATATATATATATATATATATATATAATAAAAACTCTATTAAAGTTTATGGTTTTTAAATCTCAACAAAAGGAGGATAATATTTGTATAAGATATATTTAATTAAAAATAATGGAAGGAAGTGAAATGTGACAATATTCTAGGTTTCTAAGAGTAAAAGGAGAGTGAGGGGAAAACTACCGTAACATAGAAAAGTGAAAGGTGAAATGTATGTATAATCTTAGATCTTATGGTCATTGTTAATTTTAGTGATATCAACATATTTTAGTATAGTTATTATTAATATTAAGATAAGTAGAGCTTTATTTACTTATTGAGACAGGAGTGAGATACACACTCGGAGTGATAAATGTGAACTCGGAAACAGAACCGACCCAATGCAGGTTCATCCAGTGCCCATGAACAGGGCCCAAAAATCAAAGGGCCCATTATTTATTTATTTTTTTGCATTCTTTAATAGAGTATGTTTATTCGGCCCAAAAAATTAGGTTATATCCATCTATCATCAGCCGACGAACATAGGAAGGAAGCAACAAAAGAGGGAGCGGGAACTAAATTTTCGGGAAAAAAAAGTTCTTCGGTTTCTTCATTGATAACACACACATGGATAATATGAATCATCATTACTGGAACAGTAACATCTATTTACATTCATTTATCATTCGATTCAATTCCATCAATTTTCATTCACTTCTTAGTTCTTCCTTTTTTATCTTCTTCTTCTTCATTGATTAGTTTTTACAAAGATTACCTATAATTTTAGAATCTTCAAAATAAGAATTCGGAACCATCAAATTTCGAAATCAAAAGGTTGAAAATCAGAATTCAGAACCATCAAAATTCGAAATAAGAAGCTTCAAAATCTTAAAGCTTGAGGTTTCGAAATCAAAGGTATAATACTAAAATTAAACTTTAGTTTTGTTTTTCATGGGTTTGTTTTTTCTAATTGAGTAATTTGATAATTTCAGATTTCTTATCGGTTCTTTTTTTACATTTTCTTTAATTCCAAATTACTAAATCAGAGGGAACAATCAACAATGATATCAATTTTCAAAATTTTGAACTTCCTTAGAAGCATATTCTTTTTTTTTTATTTGAAGTGTTGAAAATAATAAGATAATTTTTGGATTTATGATATGATATCATTACAGATTTTCTGATTTCTTTAGTAGCATATTCTAATTTTTTTTCTTTGTAGTTTTGATATCTTCTCTTAGTGGTTTAAAGTGTGGAAAATCTGAACCAGTAAGGAATCTATAAATTGGAAATCATAAATAAGGTCGTTTCTTTCTTTTCTATAACTTATGATGTCTCCTAGAATGAAAAAATATGCATTTGGATATGAAAAACGTAAGAAGAAACAAAAAATTGAAGAAGATAATAAAACTCAAGCAGGATCTATGGATAAGTTTATAACATTAAAAAAAAAAACACACACACACAACTTTCCAGAAATGAAACACAAAATATTAATGAATCTAATCTTGATAATAAAGATAATATTGATGTTGATGTTAATGCTAATGTTAATGTTAATGCTAGTGATAATGTTGATGTTAATGATACTCCTAATGTTGTTGATGATAATGTTTATTTTCATACTTTTGATATATTTAATCTAAGAAATTAGGATGCTCTTGATTCTAATATGATAAATATTTTAGTATTGAAAGATCCTAAAAGAGATTTGTCTATTACAAAAGGTCCTAAAGATAAATATTTAAGAGGATTTTCTACAACATATTATACTAAAACTTTACCATATGGGGAAAATGTGATAGATATTTGCTTGTTTATTCTAAAGAGTTTGATAATTTTTTTGTTTTTGTTGTAAAATATTTCGAAAATGGGTGTGGAAAGGGTCAATTAGCTAATTGGGGGGGGGGGGGTTGGGATTGGATACATCTTAACACTAGAATTAAATAGCATAAAACTAATATGGAGCATGTTAAAAATATAAATACTTGATATGATTTGCGTTTACGATTAAAAAAAAAACTATTGATAATGCGGCTAAAAAACAATTAGAAAAAGAAAAAAAATTCATTGGAGAGAAGTTTTGTTGAGTATTTTTATTGTGAAATTTCTTGCTAAACATAATCTAGCTTTTCGTGTTACTAATGAGAAATTGTATGAAGATAACAATGAAAATTTTTTAGACTTATATGTTGGCTGAATTTGACATGGTTTCTTATGACCATATATAACATATTACAAATGAAATTGGTATCCATAAACGTTATCTTGGGCATAGGATACAAAATGAATTAATACTTTTGCTTTCTTCAGAAATAAAGTCTATGATTATTAAAAAGATAAAAAAATGCAAAATATTTTTCTATAAATCTTAATTGTACTCCCGATATAAGTCACCAAGAGCAAATGCCTATTATTTTAAGATGTGTAGATGTCTCGTCAAATGTTGTTTGCATTGAAGAATCTTTTTTAGGGTTTTAGATGTAAATGGTACAATCGGCCAAGGACTCTTTGATGTTTTACAAAATGAATTGAATTTGGTTGATCTTGACATTAATAATGTACGTGGACCAGGTTATGATAATGGATCAAATATGAAAGTAAAACATCAAGGAGTGCAAAAAAAACTTTTAGATATAAATTCAAGGGCTTTTATATTCCTTGTGGTTGTCATAGTTTGAACTTAACTTTGTGTGATATGGCTAATACTTGTGGTAAAGCTAAAGGTTTTTTTTTAACAATACAACATCTCTATACAATTTTTGCAAAATCCACTAAGAGATGTCAAATTTTAAAAGATAATGTGAAAAGGTTAACTCCTAAATCGTTGTCATCCACTCGTTGGGAGAGTCGTGTTGATAGTGTTAAATCTATAAGATTTCAAAATTTTGATATACAAAAAGCTTTACTTCAAATAGCCAAAAATGATAATGATCCAAAAATAACAAGTGAAGCTAAATCCTTAGCAAAAAATGAACTTAGCTACTTTGAGTTTATATTGCCATTAGTAATTTGGTATGAAATGCTAAACACTGTTAATTTAATTAGCAAACAACTGCAATCAAAAGATATGCTTATTGATGTTGCTATGGAAAAAATAAAGGGTTTGATTTCGTATATTAAGGAATATAGAGAAAGTGGGGTTTTAAATGCTTTACAAACTGCAAAAGATATTGCCTTAGAAATAGGCATTGATCAAATATTTCCTAAAAAACATGAACCTAAAATAAAATAAAAATAAAATAAGAAACATTTTGATGAGATTTCAAACGATACTTCTTGTAGTTTTTCACAATCCGCCCAAGAGAAATTTAGGGTTAATTATTTTATTTATATTGTTGATCAATCAATTACTTCTTTAACTACAATATT